TTGCATCGGTAGTAAAGGTGATTAACCTAAGACGGCGGACAATGAACGCAAGACAGTCATTGCATCGGTAGTAAAGGTGATTAACCTAAGACAGCGGACAATGAGTGCAAGGCAGTCATTGCATCGGTAGTAAAGGTGATTAACCTAAGACGGCGGACAATGAATGCAAGACAGTCATTGCATCGGTAGTAAAGGTGATTAACCTAAGACAGCGGACAATGAACGCGAGACAGTCATCGCTCTTCTTGGCCCAACTACGACGTGGCTTTGCGACGAGTAAGTGGCTTTTGAATTCGCTTGAGTGCGATCAGAAAAAATACGAGTTTTGCTCTGCGCGAGTTTATGGATTTCGTTGCTCTTCAATTTCGTTTAAAGTCATATAAACCAACAATAACAAAGGAGAAAAAAGTTAAAAGAAGAAATTTATTCCAACATGTAGACGATTGTATCCAATGCGAATTAAGAACGCATAGAGCAACATATTGTCTGCTTGTTTATCAACGTCATCTAATTTGCTTTAATAGGTGACATTATTTCACTGCATTCAGATTTGATTCAATAAAAGACTCAGATATGCTAAAAAACTGAAAATGAAAGAGAAATAAATAAATATGCTTTGGGCGTTTCTTGTAATTTCTCAGCTTAATATAATTTGAACGCATTTGATAGAAATAAAAGTACTAATTCTCAAAAGAGAACGGTTATAAAGGCATGAACTAGAGCTCAACCGCTGAGTGTATTCATTAATTAAATTGCAATTGAGCATCGCATTTGCTCATTGTTAGCTAAGAATAACAGTAAAATAATAATAATAGGTAAGAAAGTAGTATAAAAGGCATTGACATTGATATACTCACCAATAATGGGAGGTATTATGCACTGTTTAGCCCAGGCATGGTCATATCTATGATGTATCTGCTTCTGGGGCATTAACCTGGGCATTTCAATGAACTGGCTGTAGTGGGGCCCACCAGTGGGCACTGGAGTGGGCCCGGTCATGGGCCTCCCAGGTGTGTTATTCCAAACCACTCCCCCTCTCCCAACACCTGCACTACCACCACCAGCACCACCACTCACTACACCACCTCCATTGCTCATGTATGGCGATGTCTGAGGCAACATACTCGCCTAATATCAATTTACCGAAGATCACTTCAAAGTTATATCCAATTGGAAACTTTTTGGCACCATGACACATCGAGGGTGGCAACGTACGCTGGTCCTGCCTGAGTCGTCAGGCGGCGTTAAAGTTGAACCGAACCGCCGATCGATTTAAGCTTAGACACAAATGTCGCTCTTATAAAGGTAATTGTTATCACAAAATTGTTAAATGGAGGACGCACTTTTATCTGAGCAAAGGTTATCCTTTAATATTAATCCACAAAAAGATCGCAAAAATAGTCGCGAAGTTTAGCACCAGCTGAGTAGCACGAAGTACTGACGATCATAGCACTGTGATATTTAGCATACGCTTGATGCCGAGTGATCAAGCAGCAGCGGCTACGAAGAAACAGGTCAAGAGTGAGGCTGTAATGGAAGATCAAAGGGCGCACCCTAGAAGGGTGTAACGACTTCAGCAGCAGACACAAGGACCAGACAGACAGCTGTGCCTAAAAGTAGGGTAGACTTCAAGGAGGTGTGCTCAACGAAGAGCAGCTGTGGCCGGGCACAGCGGGCGGTGTGCGTTCGTTGCTAGGAGTGACGTCACGCTTCTACTCAATGGTTATCGACTAGACTGACCTGAGGTGTACATAAATCGTACATGTATCACTTGGTTGCATCTTACAGAGATAAGTAAAAACACTAAGGATAACACAGCTTTAGGAAGAGACTGAAAGCACGCGCGGTGATGTTCAAGGTACGGTTCACAGACCAGGTTCTTACGTTGACTGGCGAGGCAATGACACCGACAACTGTTCACGGAAGATGTTGTAAATTCGCAAATCCAATTCGACAAAAGCGCTAAAGGCTTTAGCTTGTGCCACTCAGAAATCTCGACTTTTTATGATCCAAGACGTTCACTGCGGTCACAGTTGATGAGGCAAACAGAAGCGGAGCTCATCAGGAAGCAAGACTGCAGCATTGACGGTCACGTGATATTTCAGGAATGCAGGATGATGTCGATGACGATGATGAAGGTGAAGCTGGTAAGTCCAGGCACCAGCATCCCTAGGAATGCCAGCTACCAGAACACGCCGCGGAGCGACCAAAGCTTGCAGTAATCGATAGAGGCAGGAGCGCCGGAGAGACACACTAGGCACACACTAACTCGCTCGCAACACAAGAAGAAGACTATACCCTCAAAGTAGGTAGTAGAGGAGCTATGCTGTTCTCAAATGGAGGATGAGCTAGCACATCGTCTGGACAGCACTGTTGTAAAGCTAAAATCAACTGTAGCCACATGGCGAAGTGACTAATGGCCCCAATCTTCGGGCACACCGAGAGCGTTTCGTAGTTATGCGGTACACGACACAGGAGGCTTGGCAGCGTTATTCCCTTTGAGCGGCGCGACACGTACTGAAGCAGGCCAACGAGTCGAGCTGCTGCTGCCGCTGCTGCGGCTGATCTGCTGCCACTCTTGACAGCTTATGTTTCTCGTGTATTTATCGCATTGTTATGCTTTACGTTCCTCGTTCCGTATACAGACCACTTCCTCTTGCTAGTCCGTGATCACTTAACATGCGTACTTAAACAGTCACACAACGAACAACTCGGAATTCATTCTATGGATGTGAGATGAAAGTTTCGGATGTTGTTTAACAGCTAAAACATTCGTTCTCAGGTCAATTTGCATAAACGATGGTATCCATAGTTCAACACAATTATCAAGTTTCATGAGAAATCACGCACACATTAGCATTTCTACACAGTAGAACATGATCAAATATTAAATTCTGTAAAAGCCTTAGCAGAATTTATAGTTTTACATGCATCCAAGGAGAAACAAACAAGTAGTAACCGCAGTGTGGACTTGTATCTTGTCACTAAGCGCTCTATTCATCCGCATCTCACTAGAATTAACCACTGGAGACTTTGAGCAATGGCACACTTTTCATTCTTTAACGTAATATTGAAATACGAATATTCCCAAATTTTTTATAAATAATAATCGCTGTAATCATCAGGAGCGATCCATAATGTAACGTTATTCGCAATACTCAATACGCACATACACGGAATGTGCGACGCACAACTCTGTGCACAAAGAACGGACACTTGCTCTGATGGCGCATTTGTGCTTGACAAGAGATACATACAAAATTTGTCCGAGCTTTAAATTATATGAACGTTGTATTTTAGAGCAATTCATTTACGGGCCACATAGTCAATATTTTCGTAAACTCAACATTAATATCTGGATAAACCTAGAACTACAAATAGCTACCCTAAAATATTTATTCAAGTTCAGACACTGGGTCAACACTTCACTCCAGCCTTTCGTAGTAGAGTTATATCTTATAATTATTATAAAAGTTTAAAAACTTGAGAAATCCCTTTTAGAAGTTGAAATTCATAGTAAATTACTCAAAATAAGCGCATAATACGAAGTTGGCATAGCTCTGCGAACAGGTATTATGCGAAAAACTGCGAACATCTTGGAAATTCAAGTATTTCAAAGCAAATCGTAAGGAAAAACATGATTTACGTACGTCACAGACGACACACCACGAATTGAGAGACAGAGAAGTGTCTCGAGAGTCGAGGTCCGAGTGGCACTTAGGCCTATTTTCTATATGGCTATGTGGAGGGGACTATAGCATAGATAATTCTCGTGATTGTCTGGTTTCTGGGTACCAATATCTTCAAGATCTTATCGAACAAACAAGGTCGCGCAGATTTCGGAAACAGCATGATAATCATAACTTCAAAGCTCCTTGATATTAATTTTTAATCCTCCAGAAGAAACTATTCACATCTCGAATAGAAAAAGTAAATACCGTCACGCTATTTGAACTACAATAATAACGCTGAAATATGAACAACGGTACTCAAATGATTGAAATTATCATTTTTGCGGTAGTGCAGTCTGAGAAATCGAAGAAAGAAGAAAAATTACAAAATCGAATTTTCAGTTCCTAATTCAAGTTCAAGGTTTTTGGCATCTGCGAAAATACTGGGTCAGCAATTCAGTAAACGTTCAAAACGAATTTCACGTTTGCCGCGTCGTACTCTAAACACCTAGTAAACACTCAACACTCTTCCGCTACTCAATTACTGCTGAGGCATGCAAACATTAATCATCAAAAAGTAGCAATGGAAAAATAGAGAAACTATTTGATCCCGAACTAAAATTATAAGAATAAAAAAGGCTACGAGGCGAATGGTCATGCATGAATATACCGGCATTTCATATGACCACAACGCTCGAACGCTTATGTAAAAAGCTCGGCACTCAGTCTGAAGCACGATAAGATATACGAAGAATCAATGAAAAAGACTACAGAATTACTGAACTTCGGGCCCATTATGGAGAAAGAAAATACTATCACAAGTAAGGAATATGTCATTTTAATGTGAAATAACATTAAAATGAATCAGTTTTACGTAAAGAATAATAATTAAAATTTATTGATCGTTTCAAATATTTCACTTTACAATCTTTGTAGAATGAAGCACAAATACAAGTGATCTCAGCTCTACAGCTCAAAAGCACCAGCACGAGGCTCAATAGTGTATAACCTAGCGCACTAGGCACAGGCCAGGCTCCATTATATACAATACTAGCTCACTAGCCAGTAGCCACAGGCTCAATAGTGTACAATAATTTAGAGTATTAGTATATGTAGGTCGGCAAAATTTGTTCCTTTAAGCAGGTGTCATTGAAGACCAGAGAATAAGTTTTATTGGTAATTTTCTTATTTTTTTTTTTTTTCAATAGATCGAACAATATTTTTCGTTGAACTGGTAAATCGAAAATCAGCGTACCGATGGACATTTTTATTTATTTAACAACGTTTTGAATGTATCAATCATTCATTATCAAGTTACAAGTCGCATCGAGTGATGGAATTTGGATCGACATAAGTATAAAATCATGTAAATAGGATACTACTCACAAATCCAAATAGTTATAAATAATTGCAAAATCACAAAAATATGAAGATAATCGAGAATTTAAAGGAGATTCGCTAATAATTTAGAGATAAATAAAGCAGTGAAGGAAGCAAAGCGAGAGGAACAAACCTGTGAAGCTGGCTAGCGAGCAGGGCATGGCTGTCACCATCAGCCCTAATACTAACTGATAAGCAAGCGCTTCCGGTCACCATTGGGTCCTGCACACTGAATGATCCAACAACCTCACATATCATGCTTGAGTGAAGAAAATAATATCATGTAATAATGTATAATACTGAGCGATGATAACAATATCATGTAATAATATATAATATAAAATACCTCGCATAATATCATGCTTCAATGATCAAATCATCAAACCACCTCAAAAAAATATCGTTCTTGAATGATCAGTCCACCTCACAAAAAATCATGCTTCAATGATTAGGTCACCATACATAATATTATGTGATAATATTAATATTATATTATGCATTTGTGCTGTTCAAAAAGAGCAAAATTTTTAATTCAATGAAAACGGAAACACAGTTTCTGATTGGTCGTTATTCCGTCTTGGTCAAGGTGCAATGCTGAACATTCGCCTTGGCCAAACCGCAATGCTACATTTCCGCCTTGGTCAAGACAGAATGCCGAACATTCGCCTTAGTCAAGACAATGCCAAATCTTCGCTTTGGTCAAGACAGAATCTGTCTCTTATACACATCTAGATGTGTATAAGAGACAGGGGTGAGAGAGGGTGAGAGAGAGGCACAGGGTGAGAGAGGCACAGGGTGAGAGAGAGGCACGGGGTGAGAGAGAGGCACAGGGTGAGAGAGGCACAGGGCGAATGTTGGCAGACATTCTTTGCACAGCTGAGCGAGACATCGCCCATGTGCTGCGACTGCAAGCCTCGGTAGACAACTTGGATTAACCTTCATCACTTAATACTTTATTCTCTTATGTTAACTTTTGGAGAAGAATGTCTAGGAAATAAGTACAATATTTCGTGTGCGTATAGCGGTAAATGGATGAAATCTTCATCGGGCGGCAGTTTCATTCAAATCATGTAATAATATGACGAAACTGTTCCCGAACTCCTTCAAAGATTCAAAGAACACGTCCGAGCATAACTTGTGATAAAAAGTGATAGCCAAGAAATACCATCCTACGACACTGCGTAAAAATATACCGTGTTGAAGTTAGACTTTATCGCATTCGCTGTATATTTGTCTTAGAATAACTATTTTATAATTTGACAGCGCAATTCAGTCAATTCTGTCGTCACAAAAAAAAAAAAATAATAAATAAAATACCGACGCTAGTGAAAATTGCCCATGTCAAATATATTGAAATTAGTGTGTAATGTGTACGTATAAAATAGGCGGCATAATAATAAAAATAGGCGGCATAAGTTAAAAAAAAAATAAGCGGCATAAGTATAAAAATAGGCGGCATAATTCTGAGGCAATCGCGAATATCTTCCAAGAAGAAGACCTGACTATTTTCTCAATGACGCTTATATATCTGACGAGTAAATGATTACATTCAACCCTCAACAAGTGCTGGAATACATTTACCTCCATGAATGTATAACTGAATCAATGAACAATTTACCAAAATTATATCTTGCCTCTCCATCGCTCAACTCTGAAGCTGAAGACGTATACGAAGATATTTGTTCTCATGCTATATTCCGTAAATTATCTGGATGTAGACTGTGAGTTGAAGAGTAATGGGAAAACGCTAAGTTGTCGCTGAGATTTTAATTGCGTGTCAAGTCTGGGACCCGGCATCTGGGAAAAGTTCATTGGCGATCGTGAGACGCGGCTAGGCATATAAACCAACTATATAATAAATTAACGAGTCGTGTTGTCGAAAGGGCGACACTTTTTGCACGTAGCGCTGCTACGTCCTCTGCCAGACCAAACTGGTTCAGGATGACCAATAAAAAAGTGCACAGTTATCTGGACAAAGTATTCGACATTTCTCTGCGTGCATGCTGTGGTTGCACCGCGTATTTATGCGCGCCACGTAGCCGCTTTGAAAGAGACGAGCCAATAAATTGCGTGAGGCTGAGCCTAGATGCAAGGGTGAGCCGTGCGTGCCACACAAAGAACATGGCGACTTTGCCAGAGCTTTTTTGGCCGACTATAGGCCACGTATACACGGTTATCACGTTTTCGAAAGCGGGTATGTTATGAGCGGATTAAATATAGCTTCAAGTCCAGAAGAAGTTTGTCCACGAATACACCAACAAAAATAAGTCCATTCTGATTGATGCGAATAGCTATGTTCGCACCCAAAATTATCGCGATACCTCAACAATGAGAATCAGATAGAGATAAATATGTCTCGATTCACGTGCATAGATTCTAGTGCGAGGCTATATAATTTTGCCAAGTCTGCGTATGAATTAAGTTCGACCGACACAATTATGTAATTTGATT